GTGCAAAATGATCTGGTTATACAGCCAGTTATGACGTATCCATCAGAACACTATCATCGCCTCTGACTCATTAATGAAGAGAAAACAGAAGAAGAAAAGAGACTAATCATACAAGCGAAGGTCGCAATCAGTAAGAAATGCGAAAAACTAGACCGTCTAAAGAAAAGTGAAATCTAAAGAATAAAAGTAAAATAAAAAATTACAGTTATAATCAAAAATCAATTAAGCCTACGAAGGAGAAATCCCAATTTAGGAAATCTATCAGGTTGTTACCAAAGTATTACCTTCCATTTTGTTTTAACACGTTGACGACAATGCGCGTTTAGGCATTTTTGGCGGCATGGGACCGACGCAATATTTGCGGCCCCGTCGACCGCGGGACATATACGTCCTGCGTTGTCCCTTGAGGCCCACTTTTAGAAGCTTGAGAGTGAAAACTATTTCTGACTACATATCGCTACTTAGTAAGTTGATTAATATAATGAAAAACATACGAAACTGCTCTATATAATAAATATTTTGCTTGAACAAAAGCTTACACGGACATTANCTTCTCTGTAGAGCCTCTCCAGATCCATATAAAACGTTTCCAACTCTTCTTCTTCGTAGCTCTAATCTAAAGAAATCTAAAGAATATAAAGTGAAATAAAAAATTACAGTTATAATCAAAAATCAATTAAGCCTGCGAAGGAGAAATCCCTATCTAGGAAATCAACTACTTAGTTCGTGAAACTCTCTATCAGGTTGTTACCAAAGTATTACCTTCCATTTTGTTTTAACACGTTGACGACAATGCGCGTTTAGGCATTTTTGGCGGCATGGGACCGACGCAATATTTGCGGCCCCGTCGACCGCGGGACATATACGTCCCTCCTTGTCCCTTGAGGCCGAGGCCCACTTTTAGAAGCTTGAGAGTGAAAACTACTTCTGACTACATATCGCTACTTAGTAAGTTGATTAATATAATGAAAAACATACGAAAGTGCTCTATATATAATAAATATTTCGCTTAAACAAAAGCTTACACGGACATAAAAATTGCGGGAAGAGAAGGAAACTTGGAAGATGCTTCACAACTCGACCATCTTCTGGCATAGAATTAGAACCCCTTGATGCTGTTAAATCTTAAATTCTATAGCTTGCTTCCATTTTTTTCATTTTACTAGCTTATTGTTCTCAATAAAAGTGTCGAATTTGTAGTAGGCTCAAGATTTTGTGAGACCTTAGGAAACCCGAGTGAAAATGAAGCACATCTGGTCATTTCATGGACCATTCTGTTTATAGCTTTGTTACTGTTTGATCTACAACATAAACACAAAAAACATATAAATAAATCACGCATGTGCAAAAAAAATTGCAAAACGTTGTCCCACGTGGCCTGCGAAACCCGGGACGTATGTGTCCCGCGCTGTCGTCAACGAGTTAAGTCTCACGATCCCTCCCATGATCTCAAATCATGTCCTATACATTCGAATCAATTTGCGCTATAAAATGGTGTATACACCATATACCACTGCGTATAACTTAAAGAATTATTGCCATTCAAGCTGTATTTTAGGTTTGCGAAAGACAAAGCGAGTCAGCTGTATTCAGGCCAGTTGTAGTCAAACAGGCAGCAGACTGAATCTACATAGAATATTTTCCATTGCAAGAGATTAACCAACCTTTCAGTGTGCTCAGCCGTTACCTTCTATACACTTCACTATTGAGCTCTCTAACAAGTTCGTAGTTATTTTTTACAAATCTGGCTTTTCCCGTCAGAATTCGAAGGTTGTCACTCGAACTATGCTCGCAACAGGCGAGAAGTCCTTACTGTTGGAACCCGTCGAAACTTACGTCGAATAAGTGGCCTCGAAGCTCCTTTTGCGTCGTTCTAGGCCTTCAAAGTCATAAGTGAGTTAGTCCTTATACATGTAGTCTTCTAATATTGTGGAATATTTGGCCGATAATTTCCAAACACCCTAATATAATTGATCAAACCATCACAGCAGTTCCCCCTATAGGAGCTCTATTATTTAGCGTAGTTTTCTTTGACTCTGAACTCAACTTTTTTAATTGCTCTCCTTTTCCTAGCTGGGATCTGGAATCGTAATCTCACGAAAGAGAAATATCAGTATGATAGACGGTCATTTTTTCGCGGTGATTTCAGCGTGTGTCGAACATACTTGCTGATGTCGAATAATACCAAAGTGCACGCATCAAAATGTCATCTCGCAGCTGCAAAAATGTACTGGCATAACCGCTGAATCCGACAAAATAAAACAGTGGTTATGTATAAAGATTTTCATCTCATGAATATATCAGGGTGAACGGAAAGTTTTAGCCGGAACTTCCACAATAATCATAGTTTTTCTAGGACGCTCTGAGAGTTCGCATGGAATTGCTGTATAGGGTAGGAAGCTAATGTATCCGAAGATTTCGTGTTATCGCAATGGGTCCATCAAGGCTCATCTTCGAACTTCTACTCATGTACGTCTAATTGTAAGAAGTATCGGTGCCAACAGAACACAGAAACACTTGAAAGGTTTTCAAGGCCAACTATTTGACATAATCTTTGTTAGCCCTTATCAGCGGAGTATCCGGATCTGTTAATGGTGAGGAAGTATGAATACGGAAATTCAGATCGGCTATTATGCGGTTAGATAAGCAAAGAAAGGGCAAAGAGCGAAGTATGCGGTTTAGGATATGTTACGCGTACAGCAATTCTGAGTGAAAGTCGAATGCGGCACTCACTCCGAAAACCAGATCGATCAGGAGCTTTATCCTTTACTTTCAATGATGAGTTGGTTTATGTGAACTGTCCTTGGTCACCTTAGGGCTTCGTACTGATCCTCAGACGCTTCCGAACATTTTAGAGGTGGCCGAGGCGGCGAGGGGATAAAACCATAGATGAAAATTGCGTTGTTGTTTCTCTTGAGGCTTAATCTTTGGTCCTCCAGGTAATGTTGCGTTGTCGAAAAGAGCCTGAATGGAGGAGAAGAAGGGCTCAAAAATCATTTGAACGCTCGACCCAACAGAGGCTTCCAACAAATGACGTGTCAGCTGGGCCTTTATACGCTGTGCAGAATAAGGGAGCATGTCGCGAAATGCAGTGCGGGATATATTTGTGTTGAATGAAAGCATCTTACAGTCCCGAAAAGAAGTGGATCCTCGTGTCTACACTCCCCTTTGCCGAATAATCTCGTACTACTCCAAACATAATCTTGGTGAGTTGCGGGCATTCTCGTTTTCCTCACCACTTCTCGCTATTCCTCATCAACAGCCCTTAATCACATAACGATACAGAAATTATCGCGTACCGGGCTTTAACAGCGGATAGAAGTGCTCGGGGACTCGAGGCTGTTACTCCAACTATGATTAATGTATTCCAGATTGCAACATACAGGCGCTACGACGAAGCGCTTGCACATAGTCGGGGCTCAGGATGCCTCAACAACCGACGGTTATCGCTATGTCTTCCATAAGTAGCCAACCTTGTGAGACTTTCGGATCGAGAACTGCGGCTCAAACTGTGCCTTCATGAAACAATCCCAATTTTTATCAAAATTAGATAACACGTGTGCAACTGCGACGATGACGTCGTCAGTTCTGAGATCACTCATCAAAAACCCAGATAAGGCTCGAAGAGATTGGAAACGACGTGACCAAAACCGCGAAACAGCGTGGTGTCAGTGCGATTTGATTGACAGCCAACTTATGGCTTTGACAATCGTAAACATCACAAGCCGATAATAACGGAATGAGTGCTAGAAATCACGAAGTCTGAAATTTGCTAAGGTTCACAGACAATAAAATTATCCACAAAGGATGAAAGACTACCCGTCTTTACTTGTGCTGCCTACATGGATTAAAAAAATTAGTGAAACAATCCTCTTAGGGTAACCGCCTCGGGGAGAGGGAGATGACCATTGGAGAAGAAAGATCTCACGAGCAAAAGATTTCAGTCTAGTGGTGGCTGATCTGAGGCAGTTCCAGGTAATTCGAGCATTCGGTTAACACGGAGACAAAGAGAAGCGATCTTATAGGAAAGCCTGTCACTGCAGGATCGCTTGGAGATACGAAAAACCGAATGACCTTTCTGAAACTAGCATTTGCAAATTACTGAAACGCCATCATTTGAAGCCACTAATGTAAAGATGTTGATAGCTGTCAGCACACGGCTTACATACATACCTTCTCGCTATAAGCTGATTCCACCAACAGAGCGCTAGTATGAAGTGGTCTGTTACCATGCCTATCAGTGCAGGCTTTGGATACTGGTCATGGAAGCGCTTACCTCTCATGCTGGAGGGCATGTGTCCTGCAGGGTTGCTCCTTGGCGATCGAGAAGATATAGTAGTGCCGGTATGAAAATTCAATGGTGATCAATGATAAGGTAGATTTCTAAGGAATGCCATCCCGTTCGGAGTGTTCTCGATTGCTGGGTGTCATACTGCGGCAAATGGATTTCATGGCACAGAGGATTTTAGAATTTTTTGAACAAAAATAAGTCATTATTTATCAGGTTCAAAAATCCTACAAGTGTACTTATTGCAAGACTACAGGCAGAATTCCCCGACTTGTTTCATTTTGACCGGATAATAATTCCCAACAATAGATGCATATAGACTTCGACAGCTGCTGTAAAATATTTTATTTGTTCCTAACAATTCTTATTTACAAATGTGTTTACGCCGTAAATCGTATACAAGGTATTTAGCCATACAAAACAAGGCAAATTTAACCACAGTCAAAAGTGAGATCGGTAAGCTTCACTGAATGGCAGCACTAACCCATGAACGTTCTGTTCCACGGGTAGATTCGTCTATGGAAGTGATACTGATCGGGGTTTTCTCCAAGAAAGTATCTTGACCAATCGAAGGCACGTTTACGAAAATATCAAATCCAAATGTACAACAGAGTTCATATGAGACTGTAGTGAGCTATAAATTATGGCATATCGATTGCTGATCCTGACTGATATGAATGGAACTCGTAAAGGGAGCCGCTTTGAGTGAGGGCTATCGCCCCTGTAACGAATTGTATGTGGCTCGAAGCAGTCTCATATAGGTCCCGCACAGCTCTCCAGTGCCCGTTTTCAGACCGTTTGCCAAATATGCAAGTACTAATTGATTTGCAGGATCTACATGCACAAACTGGCCACCGTATCCAGGATGGCCAAAAGTGAAGGTGCCCTGAATCGAAAGGTCAATTTCAAAGAGAAAAGTAGTTAAATTTCACTGGACTCACGGGAACGACTGGATTTCGTTCGTAGAAGAATCCATGGCCTTTTCGGACAGGCCAGAGAGTGACCTACATGTGAATTATCAAAGGAAGTTGTTTTTGATTTATCAAAGGAAGTTGTTTTTGTTTTTTGAAGTTGGAAATTGATTTACCAACTGACCTTTTCGAGATGCCAACTATCAAGCGTAGGAGAGCTTATCATTTCAAGGGTTCTATTCGAAAGTATTGAGCCATCGAGAGCAAGTGAAAATAGCCGTGAGAGATCTGGTGCGCTGGAGACTCCCGTCACAGCCGGCATCGGAAGCTCGAGAACTTCTGGATCATTGACAGCAACCGTATCCTAAACAATGACTGGTAGTCGACTCGCAAGGCGTCGACTTAGTTGACCACTTCAGAGAAACGATTTAACAAGAAGCTTCTCAGCTGTACTGCTACTACATATGCTCCTCACATTACGACCTTGGATAACCCAAGACTGACTCCCTTCCATTTCGGCACAAAGGGCTCGCTTTAGTACAACAGTATGACATAAAAACAACAATATTTCATACACTTATTTCAATTCCTTCGCCTTTAATAGAGTTTGAAAGGTTAAGTTTCGCTAGAAATTGAGCCCCGATTGCCGCAGACCTCAGATTTCCAACATTAATGAATCTCCAAGATAGTCCAAACATGAAAAGGCAAAAAAAGCAGAAAAAATAAAAATAGATCTGAAGAGAGCTACATGTCGAGAATAGAAACGTCTTATCCCTTGTGACAGAGAAAAAGAGATCAAGCGACTAAGCGAACAGGAAAACTTCTACCTGTCTCCCCATCTTCAAAGGCCCAATTCCAATTCACAATAAAAATGACTCTCGAGAATTCTCCCAAGCATGGGCAAGGTCCCTACAAAGATTCCTTTCGTATCGAAAAACGGCCTAGCGTAAGGAGGGCTCGAAAACCAGGTCAGTCGACGCCCAACGCATAGATGGACGAGCTCTCACGTCGTAGTAGAGGCTATAGGGATTGCACCATTCGTACCGGGACGCACACGTTGCACGCGGGTATGTGTACGAACGTGCGTCCGAGGATGCGCGCGGCAAATTGCGCGGCGAAGTTCGTAAGGATGTGAACGACTTTGGCGCCTATCATTGGGGTCCAAATTTGAAATAG